CGGCTGTAAGTCCTTAGGAGAAGGGAGAGTGAAGGCAGAGAGAGATATTTCTAGGGAAGGCCTCTCCCTCTTTACACTCTCTAAGAGATTCCTCAAGAGCCAAGCTTTTACAAATATATTTTATAGGATATGTTTAAAAGCTTTTTAAGAAGTGTGAAGTTAGTCATCCACACCAGGATGGTTCTTTTGCCATCACGAGGAGGATGGGGGAAGACTCCAGCCGTTATGCGAAGGGTACTCCAGCTTTACACACAGAGGCAATCGCGAGCTACTTTTAGCAATGAAGGAAAATCCTTTGTATGAGACCTAGGACAAGGAGAGGATAAAAATGTTGAGCATTGACCTCATCAAACTTCAGGACATAGTTTTGGAAACTGTGGACAGATAGATTTAGGATACCCTCCGGTTCATTAAACTAAGATTCACTGACGTTTAGATTTGCTGAGAGTTAGAAAGGAGCTTGGAGAGGATCTGGTCCAGTCATCTTATTCTTCAGAAGAGAAACAAAATACCAGACAGGTTAGGTGATTTGCCCAAGAGCGCTGGTGTGGACCTGGGGCGACAAGGAACACAGGCTCTTGGTGCCTCCTCACCTCTAGGGCTCTCCGGTGTATGGACTGATGCCTCATGAGATAAGGCAACTCCCATCTCTCTGTGATGATCACAGAACGAGGAACAAAGAAGACAAGCAAGACGCCCCGCAAAGACAATAAGTAAATCTCACCCTTAGGAACCGAAAACAAAGCAGCAGGCAGCACTGGCCATTAGTACAGGTGACCCAACTCTCCCTGCTGCCCTTCAATGTAAGCTCCTGGAGACGCCCGCCTTAGAATGCTCTGGTCCCCGGTTCTGGGTCTGAGTCCTTCAGTGTTAGGAAGTCCAGATGTACACAAGCAGAGTAGAAATAGTTGTTAGAAAAATAAAGCCTCTGGAAGGCTTCTAAACTAAAACGGCTTTGAAAATCAGTGGAATGTGGCTGGTGAAACAGGGACCTAATTACTCATCTTCACCCACATTCTGGAATCATTTTAGTGATTAAAAGTCAAGCAAACAGATGAGTCAGGTCTGCCAACCCCAAAACACAATTATCTTCTCCAGATCAACCCAGATCGACCAGAAATTGGTGAATTATCACACGGAAATCAAATGAGCAACTTTGCAAATAGATAAGAGATGCAAATTAAGGCAAGGAATACCCACTTCCATTTATCAAATTAGTAAAGGTTAAAACAAACAAACAAAAAGCCCAGATTGGCAAAAATGTGAGAGAAAAGGTCCTGCTTAAACACTAAGTTCACAGCCAGTGGTCATGTAAATTGCTGAACCTTTTCTGAAGAACAGTTTGGAAAAAGATATCAAAGTTTTAAAACTGTTCATTTACCTTGTAATCTCATCACTAAGAATTTAAGAAAATAACCAGAGATGTGCCTGAAAATTTATATGTAAGGATGTTCATCACTTCCTTATCAGGCTGTTTATAATAAACAATTCAGAAGAAACATAAATGTCTTTTACTAGGAGATTTGTTAAATACACTATGTTGTATTCAGATGAGAGCCTAACATGCAGCAACTAAAAACCATGAATTAGAAGGACATTTACTGCCATGGAGGTTGTGCATTCCATAGTGCCAGATAAGCAAAAACAAGTTATAAAGCAGTATGTTTGGTTTAATATTGACTATACCCATATATATGCATATTTTTATATTCTTAGTAAAGAACTAAAAGGATTTTTATACTTCAACACATGAACAGTGATTTTTCTCTGGGAGGTGCTATTACAGATTATTTAAACTTTCATATGTGCTTCTTTTTCATTTTCTGTTTTTTTCAGTCAACTCATGAAATCTTTTATTCATTTACAAAGGTTCTTGGAGCGCTTTCTATGTGTCAGCCTGGGTGTTGGGGCCGGGGTGAGCACTGAGACTGAGACAGACAAGGGGCTCGCCCTCGGGGGGGTCTGTGTGAGGGGAGGATAGGAAAAAGCATTCCAGGCNCAGCATCTGTTCAGTGCTTGCTTTGATGCTGGGGACTGTCTTAAGTGTATCAAATGCTTTGACGCATTTAATCTTCACAATGCACTCTGAAATGGGTACCGTTGTGATCGTGCGCATTTGTATAGATTAGAAAACTGTGGCACAGAAGTTGGAAAGTGACCTGTCCAGGCCACACTGGACTAAGTTGGGAAGCTGGAATTTGAACCCAGGCAGTTTAACTCCAGAGCCACACACCCCTACCCATCATGCCACACTCTCTTTCTGTCCTCCCTATCTAAGATGGTGGGCGAGTTTTCCATTTATTTGAATCTTTGCCATTTTCAGTAAAATCTTTATAGTTTAAAAAATATGGTGCTGCGTAATATGTGTTAGAGTTATTTCAAGATACTTCAAGGTTGGTTTTTTTCTTTACCTTCTGTTTTTCTTGTTGCACGGATGGTGGAATTCTTAAAATTATATTTCCAGATTATTACTTGTTACCTTTAAACTGACCATTTTTCATAACTACGAATAAAGCCATAAGTGAGTTCAAATGCACGTTAAATCTGTAAAAACTCTAAAATACAGGGAGAACATTGTACAGTCAATCTGGTCTCATGCTTCTCTCACTTGTGTGAGGGGAGAATAGGGCGTGGGCAGAAGTGTCTGGAGAGGAGCCAGTGCCCGCTGTTGGAGTCGGGCTATAAGGAAGCTCGTGTTTCACGCTACAGAACCTGGACTCCTGTCGTCAAACCTTCCAACACAAGGTTTCGGCAAAGAAGTGAGATGATTAGATTTGTTTTTAAAAACATCCTTGCAGCATTTTGTGAGGCAACTTGGCCTTGGGAAAAGCTGGCGATAGAGAGGCCAGTTAGGGCGCCGTTGCAATATTTCGGGTGAGAAATAATGAAAGCCTGACCTCAGGCAATAGCAGTAGGAAAAATGGGAGTGGAGAAGGTGTGGTGGGAGTAACGTGTCTCGGGTGAAATCTACAGTCCTGGAAGACTAGTAAATGCTGGGGGAGAGGAAGAGCGAGGAGTGGAAGTTGTCACCAGAAAGAGTGACCTTGGGTGAAACAGGTTGTGTTGGGAGTGGGACAGGGGTGGGGCGGGCAGAATGTGGCAGGGAAATATGTCTGGGGTTGGTTTGGTACAAGTGAAGAGCCAGAAGGATAGTCACTGTATCATAGCCAAAGCATGATACAGAAACGGTTGAAATTTGCAAAGTAGAGCCCTCCAATAAAATGGAAAGGTAGGGATTTATGGGAGGTTTATATGGGAGAGTGGAGCTGAGCGCTTGGAAGTTACCGGTATAAATTGCATCTGGGGCTAGAGGGGAAGGGTGGGGTCAGTCCAGGTAGAGTTGCCATCTTTAATAAAACAACAACAACAAACAAATAGGACAATCAGTTAAATCTGAACTTCGCATAAACAATGAATAATATTTTTAGTATATTCCATGTAATATTTAGGCTATACCTATTCTAAAAATTATTTATTGTTTATCTAAATTAAAATTTAACTGGTCACCATGCATGTCCCCTGATAACCTTAACAGTGGCTGCAAACAGAAATGCCTACGGGACCGGGAAGGCATTGCCCACGTGAGGTGCTGTGTGATGCACAGTGGAGGGTGGTGCAGGCGGGGCAGCCTGGAGCACCTGTGTCTCATCGCTGGGGGCAGCTGCTGCCCAGCTCCAGCTGATTGGGCTCTCACATATGGCCTCAAGGGTGTCCAATATTCTAATGTTTCCAAACAGAATAGAAGCACACATTTTTAATGTGAACTATCCCAATTTTAAAAGAGGACGACCGAGGCAAAGAAAAAAACATTGTGAGGCACGGAGCAGGCCTGTGGGTTCCCCAAGGCAGATGGGCCACTGCTTTACAATCTCTAATCTAATCTTTGCAGAGTGGGCGGGGCAGGTATTTAACCTGCAAATTACGGTACTTTGCAAAGTCAGGGTGTGGGGAGGGGATGGCAGCAGGGGGATGACTCCCTCATGCAAAAGGGAAGATGTGGAAGTGATGACTATGGCCACAACTCCATGATCTTGCTCCTCAGTGCCTGAACGTGTCTCATGGCCATGGTCGCCATAGCGAGGCAGTGGCCAAAGCCAACAGAGGGGTGCACCCAGTGCACTCTCGCAGGGCCAAAGAGATGAGCCTATCTCACCAGCCTTTCAGGTAGCACGAGCAGCTATTGGGGCTCTGAAGGCTTTCATCAGAAAATTGTGGGTGGAAACTTCCTGGGCTTTGCACCGAGCTTCTTGAGGCTTCTCACCTTCAGATACAAAGTGAGTGGGTGTCTCTCTGAGAAGTAGAATAAGAGAACGAAAGAGAGAACGAAAGGTGTTTCCCTGGGCTATGGAAACTCTATAAAGACGGAGCCGGCTTCCCCTCCCTTGGGCAGTCAGCAGCAGAGGTCCCTTCCTTGATCCCCGGCACTCCCCAGGATCGAGAAGGAACACTTTTGCCGGAGGCAGCCCGAGGCACCGGCTGCCATGCAGCAGCCCTTGAACTACCCATACCCCCAGATCTACTGGGTGGACAGCAGTGCCAGCTCTCCCTGGGCCCCTCCAGGGTCAGTCCTCCCATGTCCGTCCTCGGTGCCTAGAAGGCCTGGTCAAAGGAGGCCACCACCACCACCGCCGCCGCCACCGCCGCCCCCATTGCCGTTGCCACCACTGCCATTGCCACCTCTGAAGAAGCAAAGGGGCCACAGCACAGGCCTGTGTCTCCTTCTGATGTTTTTCATGGTGCTGGTGGCCCTGGTTGGATTGGGGCTGGGGATGTTTCAGCTGTTCCACCTACAGAAGGAGCTGGCTGAGCTCAGAGAGGTAAGCTGGCTGTGGATTCTGTGCCCCGGGGCTGGGGGGGAGGGGGCACACAGCTCTGTCACTGTGGAGGGGTCCACATGGACCACCGTCTTGCAAAGTGCTTTCTAAGTCTTTCTTCCTGTCTTAGAAATAAGACGATTCTAGTCATTCCATTCGACAGAGAATTGCAGGCAGCTCCCAGGATGAAAGGAGTGTTTTCTGTTGGGGAAAGAAAGGGTTAGGGGGTCACAATAGGGCTGGCAGGGACAGATCTCCCTCTGTCCTTTGGCAAGTCAGCCAGTGGAGCCATGTATTTAGTGAGCCAAGAAAGAAAAGGAGCTTGGAGTCTTGTGTAGAAGTGCATCTGTTCCAATGGCCAAATCTAATTTATTTATTTATTTTTTGAAAATGCTTAAAAATATTGGAACTATTCAAAAATCAAAAAGCTGAGGCGTGGGGAGGCACCACGGCTTGGCCAAAGTCAGAGTCAGAAGAGGTTCTGAGGTAGTTAGAGTCCCTTTCTGGGGCTGGGTTTATTTGACAATTCTGCCTCTTTGGCTTAAAGAACTTCGTATTTATCACGTGTCTTTTTCTTTTTTGCCAGTCCACCAGCCAAAGACATATAGCATCATCTCTGGAGAAGCATATAGGTGAGTGCTTTTATGCATGTCGGTTGAGTTTCCAAAGATAGCCCTCAGAGCTGAACCACACGAGGGGAAGGCTGGAATTGCATCCATTCGCAGGCATATACATACTGGCTGATTTGGAATCTCTGGTCATTTGGGTTCCTTGCACTGCCCTGATCTAGGAAGTGAATTTAATTGTTCTAAATCAGCGTATCTGGGTACTGCACAGCATTCAAAAAATTTCCACTTGCCTTTGGGAAGAGACACACACACGTCCACCCTTGGACCCTTGCCCCCGAGCAGCTGGCCCCAGGCCAGGCCCCTTCCTCCAGTCTCCTAGTTCCCATGCACAGGGTAACGGCTGTAAGTCCTTAGGAGAAGGGAGAGTGAAGGCAGAGAGAGATATTTCTAGGGAAGGCCTCTCCCTCTTTACACTCTCTAAGAGATTCCTCANTGGGAGAGCCTGAGGGACTCAGTGTTTTCTGGGTCTCAGGTTTTGGAGTACATGCTTTCTCTCGTGTAGGGTCCCCATTCTAAAGTACTTGGTTTTAGCTAACACTCAAAAACCACAGTCTTCTGGGTTGCACCTTCCCCAGATTTGTAGATGGCAAAACTTAGACACCATAAGGATTAAATCAAAACAACCTTCCTGCTTGATTCAAGGAGTGTGTGAGACAATAACATTCCACCCTTCTTTTTGGACAAGAGATGTCCCTAGGTCGTGGATCTCTTCAGATCCAGTGTGGACTACGTGTCGTTTTTGGGTCACATTCAATCAACTGTCAAGCGGACACTGACCTTGTGACATGAAGCTGCCCACCAGTCATGAGCAGACGCCCCCTGCATGCCCGAAGCTCAGAGGACATGAGGGAGGGAAAGAGAGAGACACGAATGCACAAGAAACCTCTGCGCTTAATGTATACAACAGGTGATCACTCTGAGATCTTGCGTTGATGGAAACAAGATGCTGCAGCTGAGATGATCTGTAGAGTTTGGGAAGGTCTTTCATCTCAGATTTCCAACTGGACCATGAGGATGTTATACTGGACGACCATACAGTGTTGAAACTCAGGGCAGGGCCATGCCTGACACAGGGACGCATGGTAGATGCAGAATCAATGCATGAATGAATGCATGAATGAGCGAACGAACAGATGACTGAGCGCTAAGATGAATTTTAGTTCCAAGTCCCACGACTGTGAACACAGGGATCTCGCTCCAGGAGTGAAAACAGTCCGTAAATTCCGGAAGATGTAAAAAAACGGAGAACAGAAAATACACGTCTGTGAACTAGAGAAAGGGGCTCTTGGGCAGGAGAAGAGATTTCTGAGTGGCGAGGTCATGACACTCAGCTTCTGTCCCCAAGGCCTTCTGTGAAATGAAGTGCTTCCTGCCACCCTCTGACCACTTCCTCAGTATCCCTCCCACCCCACTGCTCCCCACGCCTTACTCTGTGGAGCTGGAGCTGAAACAGAGCCAACTGAAGGAGTGTCTAGAATGAAACGGCCTCAGGGACCACGGTTACAGGGTCCTTATCTGTGTTTTTATTCTCTGCCCTGACCCTCTGCAGCCCCTTTTATCACATGGTGCCGTTAACCTGAGCCCAGGGAGAATGAGCAGGACCTTTGAAGAAGGACACACACACACACACACACACACACACACACACACACACACACCCCAGGACGCTGGTGCGAGAGAAGTGCTTGCTGTACAGGAATCTGGGAGGTGCAGAGCTGCCAGGTGAAGGAACCCCAGGACCTTTGCTTCCTCAGCTGGACGCCCCATCCTTGGAGGATGCGAGCCCGAGCAGTGCCAGCCCAGGGGGAGAGCTCCCTTTCTTTATAATCCAGTGACCTTGATCCGTGAGAGATGAGATATGCAAGGATGGAGTGCCCCATGGGATCGGGCCACCTGTGGGTCAGGTATCTGCAAAGCGGGCACTGACGTGGACAGTACCAGTCACGTCCTGGGGATACACTCAGGTGTCTCAGTGCATGTTAAAGCCTGTTTAGACAGGGGAAGGGTAGACCAGATAGCGGTATGCAAAGGTTAACCTCTGCAGCGGTGATGGGGGCGGGTTTCTGAAGCTGCCAATAAGAGGACAGGCAGACTGGCCTCCATGGTCATGAGGTGTGGGATAGCAGACAGCCAGGGAGGTGCCTGGGTAGGCTGGTGAAGCATTTGTCAGGGGGCTGCATCAGGGGACTCAAGCAGGTGCTGGGGCCGGGGCACAGGGAAGAGAGTCTGGGGCTGGAGGCAGGCTTTGGGGAGACAGCAGCCAGCAAAGCAGGACCCAAGTATAAGAGGACGGGACAAATGGGCAGGGACTTGGAGATAGGGGAGCAAGATTCCACTCCTGGATGGCGGTGTGTTCTGGGCCCTGGAGCTGAACAGCCTGGGTTTGAATTCAGGCTCTGCCATTTACTAATTTTGTGTGTAACCTTGGAAAAATGATTTAAACTTTCTGAGCGTCAGTCTCCATATCTGCCCATGGGAATATTTAACCTCATAAGGCTTCACAAGACAGTGGGTGTCTGAGCTGTAGGGTGGCTTTGGAAGGAAGAGTTCACCAGGAAGAAGAAAGAACTTTGTGGGCAGAGGACACCCCAGGCCTACCTTGGGGACATTGGGCCAAACCAGGCAATTAGAATAAGATAAGAGGGTTAACTGAATGAAGGGAACAAACCGAGGAATAGGCTGGAATGACGGCGAGATGCCCAGGAAGTGGGGGGGAAATCACATGCCACGCAGCCTGGGGTCCCCACCCAGAGTGAGGCGCAGTGAGGTCTGGGAGGCAGGAGCCCCCGGAGTTGAGGTGTGGGCTGGTTCAGGAGCTCCTGTCGTGGAAGGACACAGCCTTGGCTGGGCCCGTTTCCTTTTCTGTCATTAGAACAAGTGACAACACCTGGGTTGCCTGCCTTGTGGTGGGGGTTGGAGGGAGAGGGGGTTGGACTCTGAGAGGCCTCAGTGCCTGGACTATAAGTGCCTGGAAGAAGGTAAGAGCAGCTTGTGGTGGAGAATGTGGCTTTGGAGGCAGGTAGACCTTTTAACACAGGAGGCGCGTGGAGACAGGAAGCATATTGGGGTTGGTCCTGGTGGTGGTGGTGGTGGTGGGGGGACTTTGCAAGTGAGAAGGAGGAACTTGGCTTGGAATTCAGGGTGTATGTTGGGGGAGGGGAATTATTGGTGAAAGGCAGTCTAAAAGCACCTGAGAATCTGAGGGACGAGAGGACAGCGGTGATGAGGAGAAAGGCTACAGCAGCGGTTCTCAACCTGTGGGTCGCGTCCCCTTTGGAGGTCAAACGACCCTTTCCCAGGGGTCACCTAAGACCATCGAAAACAAAAAGATATGTACATTACGATTCATAACAGTAGCAAAATTACAGTTATAGAGTAGCAACGAAAATAATTTTATGGTTGGGGGTCACCACAACATGAGGAACTGTATTAAGNTTGGGGCCGGGGTGAGCACTGAGACTGAGACAGACAAGGGGCTCGCCCTCGGGGGGGTCTGTGTGAGGGGAGGATAGGAAAAAGCATTCCAGGCCTGGGGTGGCATGTGCAAAGACCCTGGGGCAGGAAACAGTCCTCACCAAGGTGTAGGGCATACCTCTAGCTTCTTTATTCCAGCATTTACCTGGCAGATATTTTTTATTGAGTGCCTTCCATGAGAATCACATGGTACACAGTTCTGTGAGGGATATAAAGATACATGACATGTGGTGCTCTGTGCTATTTCCTGTCAGAACATGGCTGAATGCCAGATCAGCTGCACAGATGGCTTGTGGTGTAGGAATGCAGACGGGGCTCGGTTTTGCTTTTCTGTTCATTAACCCCTCATTCATGGTGGGTGATGGTCTCGGGTGGCTCCAGAGGTAATGATGGCTTGGGTGATGTGAGTTTTGTAGGTTAATCATACTGGGCCTGCTGTGGACAATGGCCATTCTATGGATCTTTCTAGAATGTCTCAGCTCAACTCATTAGCTAAGTGGTAGCCCTATTTGGTTAAATATTTGAACTCAGAGAAGTAGTGAGAACTATTGCCTATTTTAAGTCCTTCCATTTAATTTAGCAACCCATTTACTGGTCATGTTAGAAACTGAGCTAAACATTGGTGGGTTGAACATGTAGTAAGGAATTTGCCATTTATTTGGCAAGATAAGGCAACTTATACAGTTACTACAGAAAACGAGAGTCCGAATTGACAAGGGAGGTGAAGAGAGAGTGATTCTGGATTTCAAAGAAGGGAGAAATCGTATTTGATGAAAAAGGCTTGGGAGGGTTTCTCAAACACAGAGGTATTTCCGGTGGTATTTGTAGAGTTGATAGGAATTTGACGCCAAGATCATCTGGGAGGCTGTTCCAGGCAGAAGGAACAGCATGAGTGAGGGCACAGAGGCAGGGAAGCCAGGCACATTCAGGTCAGACCAGACCCCTGGGTGTGTGCAGAGTCCCTTGCGAGTGATGGAGGAGATAAGGCTGGACAGAGGCGGAGATCATGTGCTAGGGGAAATGTACTCAGTTACATGCCCAAGGAGGAGCCATTCGAGGTGCTTGAGACCTCAGGATCATTAATTTGGGGCAGATGGTAGGATGCCACTGGGCGAGGACCTCGTGGTCAGGAGATGTGTTAGAAGTCGTCTTCAGCCTCTGTCCTGAGAGTCCTAGGGATAGCCGAGCCAGACCAAAAGGGGCCTTGGATTTGGAGTCAGGAGACCTGAATGTGGGGGCGTCCCACTCTGACACTGAGTAGCTGAGTCTTCTTGGACAAGCCACGCAACTTCTAAGCTCATTTTGCTACCTGTGAGGTGGGACCATAATCTCTACCTCACAGTGTTGTGGCTGGTTCTAAACGCAGTAACTGATAGGACAGCTCTTTATAAACCAACCTTTCCGTTGTTTTATTGTAACGTTATAATGTATACCTATGACAGGGTTAATTGGGTTTATTTTTCACCTCTCTGAAATACAGGCAGCTGTGAGGTTCACAGTTTGGATTTGCATGATGAGTATATGTTAGACTGCTGCTGTTTATGCTTTAAAAGAATCTCTTTTATGTAAATGTCCTGTTTAGAGTCTGACCTAAAGAATAGTTGGTATCTCATTTTTACGTATAATCTTTCATCTCTCTGTATTACAGGTCACCCCAGTCCATCCCCTGAAAAAAAGGAGCTGAGGAAATTGGCCCACTTAACAGGTGTGTATGTGGAAGGTGCAGGTGGGGCTGGGCGCCTTTTGTAGAAACAGAACCACTGGTCAGTGTCTGTCTGTTACTGGGATCTGGGGGAGCTGGTGATTTGAAACCCAAGTGGTTATGTCTTTCTCACCAGGTCAAACTCACACACATAGCAAGACCCCACACTGGGTGAGGCCCAGCTCTAAGCTGTGGAAATGGAGACATTATGACATAATCCCCACCCGCCAGGAGCTCACGTTTTTCATCATTCCAAAGAATCTTAGGGGACTTGGGGTGTAGGTCCACAGGGTGAGAGCTTGGGGAGGTGGGAAATGATAAGCTATTTTAGTTAGTGCTTCCCTGTTTTTTTGGAAGAACTACTCTCAGCTTTGTCCAAGAGTGGAACTAGGAGTGAATGGAGAGGCCCCGTCCTGGCATTAGTGGGCTGTCAGCAGGTGGTCGTTCCATGCAGTCAAGTGGTAGCAACATGGTAGGGTCACTCCCTATCTGAAGTCCAGGAACACCTGACAAGTGGATAAGTGTCACAGAAAGTAGAGTCCCGCCCGTGTGCCATGGTCCCTAGAATTATTTCGGCAGAGGCTGTAGAATGACCCAGGTTGGATCGACAGACATCTATAGAACACATATGTGAGTGTGTGTGTGTGTGTGTGTGTGTGTGTGTGTGTGTGTGTGTGCCCAGCCTTGGGGACATGGTGATAAATCACACATGGTTCCTGCCTTCAAGGAGCTTAAAATCTAATAGAGAAAGACAGGTCTACACGTCATCATTTCAGTATTGGACAGTGTTCTCTGCTTATGGTGTGAGGATACAAAGGAAAGGGGATTTTAGCCCAAACTGGGGGACTGAAGGCGAGGAGTTGGACCAGATGATCCCTGGAGTCCTTTCCAACTGTAGAACTTCAGAGTTCCTTGGATTTGGCTCTTCCCCTCATGGAGTGACCTCAAAGCCTAGTTGTTTTGGTGCTAGTTCTGAAGATCATAGAACCTTTGTTCTGGAAAGCTAAAACCATCTAGACAATAAGTCTTCCCTGGACTGGATTAAGGGTATATATTACTGTCCAGTTGTGTGGATGATAAAATCGAGGCAGGCAATCTGATGAAGGCGTTGAAGGGAAAAAAACATTTGCTCAAAAGGAAGGACCCACCCTTTTGCGTCGGACGCCTCGTGGGTTGGGCGCGAGAGGGTTGCTGGCTGAACGCTCCTTTCTGATTTGGTTGCAGGGAAGCCCAACTCAAGAGCCATCCCTCTGGAATGGGAAGACACCTATGGCATTGCCCTGGTCTCCGGCGTGAAGTATAAGAAGGGCGGCCTTGTGATCAATGACACTGGGCCCTACTTCGTGTATTCCAAAGTGTACTTCCGGGGTCAGTCCTGCAACAACCAGCCCTTGAGCCACAGGGTCTATGTGAGGAACTCTAAGTATCCTGAGGACCTGGTGCTCATGGAGGGGAAGATGATGGACTACTGCACTGCTGGCCGGATGTGGGCCCGCAGCAGCTACCTGGGGGCCGTGTTCAACCTCACCACTGCTGACCATTTATATGTCAATGTGTCTGCGCTCTCTCTGGTCAATTTTGAGGAATCTAAGACATTTTTTGGCTTATATAAGCTCTGAGGAAAGCACTTTGGGGTTGTCTCCATTATGTGACAGGCACTGAGAATGTTGTCTTGGAGGAGGGTCTACTTAGGCCCACCCGAGGTCAAGTGAGAAGATGTAAGCTCTGAGGACCTTGAGATTGAGACCTCAGGGTCCGGTAGGCCTGCAGTTCCTCATCTCACCTAAGGCCCATGAGCCAGACAGGATGAGGAGTATAACTGATGGACATAACCCTGTGGGCTGCCAGGTCAAGATGCAGACTCCGGGAAAAGCAACTGCCGGGAGGTCCTGCATTCATCTGCAGAGGCCAAGAGTGTTTGGCACGTTGAAAAGAACACCTCTTTGAACTCACCACCTCTTGGGGTGGGTCTACTGTCTACCTCAGGGGAGGCTGTCTTTCAGATATATGGATGTGACATGAGTGTGTAAGGGATGGCGAACGAGGAAGCTTGCATGATAAGCTACAGAGACGAAGTGGCCAGTGTCCCATTGGCAGCTGCTTTACTTCTAAATCCATAGCCTGAACTGCCAGGCGATGCTACCAGAGAAGCAACGGAGGTCTTTGGGGGACTCAGTCCATTCCCTATACAGCATGTATATTTCCAGTGCAATTGTAGAGGGTGTGTGTGTGTGTGTGTGTGACTAGAAGAGTTACATTAAGTAGAGAGGATGCGGAAATGGTGAAGAACGTGTTAGGAAAATATGGGGTGCATTTGGTGGTAGATTTTGAATGGTTCTTGGCAACCAACTCTAACAGTCCTCAGAACTCTTTTGTCAGCTAGCAATGCTGTTTTCCTATAATATAACTGGTATTTATATACATTTTGTGCATTTTTAAAGAAAAGAATATATGTAATAAAAACTATATTTTAGAATACAGATAAACATTACGAATGTACTTTTTAAGAATCACTAAGATTTTTTTTTTTTCCTAATTATTTCTTTCTTCCATGGCTTCTTCATTCATTATGACCTAAGGCCACTTTAAGGAGCGTTTGCTGGGTGAGGAGAGCTGTGAAGCAAACCTCTCCGTCTTTGTCGGGCCTTCTTTCCTTTTCACGCTATGGTCTCTTTCCTCTCCATCTCCCATTATCCACAGTTTCCATGAACAGTACTATTGCTAGTGTTAAACTCACCCAACTTCCCATAGATTTGAGGACAACTCATCTTTTCCTAAAGGCAGAGTCATGGCATACCGGAAAGGGCACAGACTTTGGCTGAAAATCTGATTTTGAATCTTTGTTCCTTCACTTACTAACTGTACAATTGCTGTGCAGATCACTTGACCACTCTTGGGCAGAAAGGGCTAATATGTACATAAAGTATCTGACACATAGTAATATGTCAAAAATGGGATCTACCATTATTAGTAAGCCAGTCTATGAAAGCCCTTCATTCTCCCATAGAAGCCACTGATCCAAGGGATCCATCCAACACCTGTTTTCTTGCATTCTCACCGGGGTCACTTACAAAGACATTTTCCCATTTTCTTCAACCACTCATTACCTCCCGCTGGACTTTGGTGCATAACAAAGGAGGTAAAAATTACCATACCTCCTTTGGAATTTGATCTCAGACATCTTATTTTCACAACATCATCTCCTTTTATTGCAGCTTAATTGCCCCAACATTTTCTCTCCAAATATGTACAGAGGGTGCCAAAAACAGTATACACATTTCAAGAAAGGAAAAAAAATTGTATTAAAGTTGTAATACTCAATATATACTGATAACAAAAGATGAATACAAGTCATATGTATACATTTTTTTTGGCACCCCTGGTATATGAGGTCTGACAATTAAGTTCATGAACTTGTTGCAGAGGTTGCTAACCTTTTTCGATATCAGAGGGATTATTCATTATGAATTTGTACCAACTGGACAAACGCTAACCAAGTTTACTATTTGGAAGTGCTGAAAAGACTGCGTAAAAAAGTTAGACGACCTGAACTTTTCACCAACAATTCATGGCTCTTGCATCACGACAATGCACCAACTCACATAGCACTGTCTGTGAGGGAGTTCTTAGCCAGTAAACAAATAACTGTATTGGAACACCGGCCCTACTTACCTGATCTGGTCCCCAATGACTTCTTCATTTACCAAAAGATAAAGGAAATACTGAATGTCATTTTGATGACATTCAGTACATCAAGGGTAGTATGATGACAGCTCTGATGGCCATTGCAGAAAAAGAGTTCCAAAATTGCTTTGAAGGGTGGACTAGGCACTGGCATTGGTGCATAGCTTCCCAAGGGGAGTACTTCAAAGATGACCATAATGGTATTCAGCAATGAAGTATGGGGCACTTTTTCTAGGATGAGTTCGTGACCTTAATTTTCTGACCTCGTGTATGTGTCAATGGACCCTTCTAGATAATGGTACCTGAGCAAAGAGGAAATGGAAATGGCTTCAGATCATCCTGAGGTGACCTGATGTCATAAGCTAGTAGTAGTATTATTGGCATTTTGATCCCTCTAAGTCTGAACTCTACTAAGATATCTTTGACATTTTCTGAAGACGGAGTCATAGCTTACTCTGCTCTAAGTACTGGTTCCAGGGAAGATGTTAACAGTTTCTTTAGGATCCCGAGTTAGTTTTCCTTACCTCAGTAGAAACATAAGAAAAGTAAAAAACACAAAACTTTTGAATGTGCTCATTAAAAATGGGCACATTTTTAATTTCGTAGCTCCTTTATGAAATGCTACAGCCAAAGTAGAGCACTTAAAAAAAAAGAAGGGTTATTCCTAGTTCAATAGGTTGAGGTTTTCTTTCTTTTCAGACAACTAAAAACACACAAAACCATGTTTTTTTTAAAGCCCCCCCAGAGTGGTGAGTTTATCTTCTCTGAAGTAGGTTTCGACTTACCACAGCTTAACAGGAAAAGAGCTTTGCTGAGGACCATAGTTCCGAGAGTGACGAATCTGAAACAATAAGTCATTGAAAGAGGGGAATTGGAGAGAGAAGTGGGGCTCCTCTGAGCCAGACTAGAAGAGTTCCTTATGGGGGTAAGCGTGGTTCACGTGTTCAATTACTTTTTTTCAAAGGAGTTTCGTTAAGTTCTGATGTTCTAAAGGTGCATTTTTACTTTTTAATTTTCTTTCCCATGGTTTTGGATAATCCAGAGGCAGAATGAGGTGATCCTAGGAAAGCAGAATCAAAACCCCGTTCCTTAGGTCTTCAGACGCAGACATGAACCTCAGTCACAAATAATATAACTATTCATGATAGCCAGGGACCTCTGGGATTCATCTAGAAACCAACCAGCCCTGAAAATCTAGATAGCTAAGTAGGTATTCTGTCCCTCATAGTTCACTCAGGGGTAGGAAAACATCACCTCAGCGATGCATTTCACACTTTGGCAAAAGCTTCCACTTCACTGTGAGACGCTTCCCCACTTTCTAGCGTTTTCAGAGAAAAGTGCAGCGCAGGCGTCCCTCCTCTCCTGCCCTGTGGCTCCTTCAGCCCTAGCGGGTCACCCTTTCTTCTACTTCTCAAGAGAACGGCATGAACCTCAATCTCACATTCTGTGGGAAGTCCAGTGTTCTCACCACGTTTTCTGGGAAGGACCTCATGCTTTGAGAAGTCCACCTTCTAGCAGGCTGCCCGGCTGTCCCCTGGGTTTTGGCAGTGGCTGCTCTCCTAGGCTCCTGTTGTTCCCGTTGTGGAATGCTTTTATTTCCCTCAAGGCACCACTACCACAGATGCTGGGTATAGACAAATTTTACTGAGGGTTTGGAGGTAACGGAGATAATCTATGACATACATAGTGTAAGTTACACCTCAAATTGAGTATCACTATCATCCCCCAAATTTGCCACAATTATCTCCGTAAATGCATCACCAAAAGTCCCTAGTACTTGAAAGGAGGCATAAGCTCTTTCATTCACCCATCCATTCATTCATCAACAAGTGTTTATTTAATGTCTGTCATGTACCAGAAACTCCCCTAGGTACTGTGGATACAATGAAATATAATGTCCCCTATGGAGTTGTATTGTAATGGAGAGGTGGTAAATAGGTAATAAAGAAGGAGCAAATAAATATCTAATAAGTGGTAGGAAGTGCTATGATGAAAAATTAAGCAAGGTGAGGTGGTAGAGAGTGATGGAGGAGGCGGTGATTGATAAGTGGTGAGCGCAAGAACTAGAAAAACTACAAGTGGAAGGTCATAAGAATAACCGGTACCTCCAAAGTTAAGCTATAAAAATAAAAATATCTTACATTTCCATAGCCTTTAAGATGTTTTCTCACATGCCTCTTGCTTTTATTGTTTTTTTTAAAGATATATGAACCAATACATGTAAAAGCAGTTGTCATGTGTCCGATTCTCCATAAGTATCAGTTGAATATATTGAATATGTATATTCTGTGCTCATTATATTCACAGCCTGGTGACATGAAATTCTGATGCCTTTTTAAAAAAATCCTGAAATATAATTAAGTAGGGTGATGCTGAAGCATTTGACTTGTAAGACAATGTTGAAGCTCTTTCTTATCCGTAAGTGGAGCTAAAACCCTCCATGGAACCCAGAGTTGTCCCTGGACAACCTCCTACGTGAATGTGAACTGCTGGGGAATTCCCCTCCTCTCCTCCTCCAGTTTCTCATCACAGAAAGGATAAAATTTGCTTCTTATGTCATAGCCCTGGCCTGCTGTGGGTGAAACACTTTAAAGACAATGTGAGTTAGTGACTGCCTTGATGGTCTCGAACTCTGAAAATGTCCACACATGGAAGACACCATATGCGAAGCAAGAACCTTTGCAACGGACCCTGGAGAATTGGACATGACATCTGTTGGTGTCTCGGATGTTTCTCTGGGCAAATATCTTCTAGTTTCACTTGGCTGAGGCCTCAGTTTTCTCACACACTCCACCCTAACACCCCTTTCGGCCTGTGGAAGGAAGCTGGTTACACATTTTCTGGACAAGAAGGTTCCAAGAGTTGTTCCTGATTGAAAGAGAGGGTAGGGGGAAAGATTCCAGAGGCTACAAAGGTCTTAAAGACATGAAGTGAGATTCTCGACTTTTGTAACAGAGATAAAAGGCCGTAGATTAAAGAAACTGGAGATTCTAGTAACATGAAATGCATTTTAGTCTCCCCACCCCAAGTCCTCATTGAGAAGAAAAAAAAACAGCCATGACTCAGATGGTGAGAAAGAAGTTTAAAGGTGTTAAACAGAACTCTAAAGTTTGAGCTACAAGTGAAGGCATCTCAAACCTCAGCATCTACTTTGCATTATTTGGTGGGTTGTGTTCTGGCTTCTAAGAAATTCTGAAGGCTTCTTCAGGGGTCTGGGAGGGTGGTAAAGAGAAGAATGCATGCAGGGGAGCTGAGATGGTTTCTACTTCCTGTAGCACTCTGTTCTTGGGTTCCCAGGTGGCACGACTGGGACGGCTAATTTTCTCTTCCTAATATTCTTGAAGAACATGACAAAACTGCTTTGTTCTGGGAGGGGAGTGGGAGTGCAGTCAGGGTGTGGGGGGAGGGGATTTTGAAAGGAGGTGAATATGAGGTATATTTTTTCTGCCTGACAGCCAAGACTATTCATCATATCTTGTGGCTCACTATGTCTTGTCATTTGAAAATAACAGGATACTTATCCCAGGACTACTTCTTGCCCTAAGCCAAGCCATGAAGTAGATAAGTAGTATTAAGAGTTGTAACGTATTGAGTCCCTTTTTGTAATGATTTTGCAAAGCCCCCTACATTTATGTTTACTAATTCTCACAACAACCCCATAAATCAGTGGTTACTAACTCCATTTTGTAAGT